AAAAAAATTAAATGTATTGAATAAATACACTGATTTCACGGCAACCAATAATATAATAATAATATTATTATTATAATAGCTTTAAAACCCATGGCAACCATTTATAAACAAAAAAGTCCATCGTAAATCTATAAATCCCCGTTTGAGCATGTACCCTGGTTGGACCTAGGGGGGTGATTTGTAGCCTATATATTATTCTGATGTATAAGCTATATTATTGTAAAGTTTCATTAAAATCCATTCAGTAGTTTTTACGTGAAAGAGTAACAAACATACTTACAAACTTTCACGTTTATAATATTAGTAGGATTTAAAATCATTTAAAATCATATAATATTATAGTAATATACTATGCCCTATGGCCTATGGTGTGATTCATTATTAGTTAATACTTTAAATTAGTTTATTATTGTTCTTTAATCATCTAAGATTCTAAATTTTTCATTAGAGGTATATGATATATTGATATTTAATAATGATATTTTAGATTCTGAGCGGGGCGATGAATGTATTGATTTTACAATATATGTTTTTGTTTGTCTAAAAGTAAAAAATTACTTATAGTTTTCACTTTTCGAAAGCGCAGGGGAAAAGAAAAGAAAAATGAAGGAAAAAGGGGAATTTTTAGTTTTTACCCAAAATTGATTTTGACAAAAGCGATTTTAGTTTTTGGTATAAATCTAAAACAAATGACCATATATGAAATTTTCACTGGTCGTTTGTTATATTTTTTAGCTTATTAAAATATAAAATAATGAATTAACATTAATTGATTTATCATGTATTCATGTATTCATGTTCAATTTATCATGGAGCTACTAGATATTTTTTTTAAGAGTAATCATTAATCAGTAATTAATCTCTTTTGATTAATTATCTATATCAGGATATAAAAAAAATTGTTATTTCTTATTAGTTATTAGGTAGTTATTTCATTGAAATTAAGAGCCATTGTCTGCAGAGTCAGATACGCCTATATATATAATATGGAAATGGCGAAATACTCATTGGATGCTTCTGCGCCCATTGCCCATGTAGGATGATTATTGATTCACCAACCATAATCATCCTTATGCATGTTTTCAATTAATAATTAATTGATTCAAATATTTATTTATTTTAAATAAACTTTATGACCTCATTTTTTAGTTTTTAAATTTTGTATATTATAATTTAAGGAGTGTCTTTTGGGATACAACTTCCTTTTTCAAATGAGAATCACTCTATTTCCATATTTGTTTAAGTAAACAAGAAGAATTATTTGAAAACGTTGATTTCAAAGTACTAGATTAAATATTACAACTATTTTATTGTTATATTTTTAATGTTTAAAGACTTTCATCATAATTCGTGAGCATAAACATTTCAATAACTCAGAAACGGCTTGTATAGATAAACCGCATTTTCAAAAAAAATCATCTGCTCCATAATCGTCAGTAAAAACGGTTGATTCTCAATTGAAAAATAATAAGTTTGTATTACCTTGACTCATAAGATTATATAATTTAAACGGTGGAAAAATTCGAAGTATTTGATAAATTGGTTGTTTTTAAGAAAGTATACTTATTTAAAAATACCAACAATCAGAATTTGAATAAATTCAATTATTGAAGAAAAAAATGGGAATGAGCATGCTTGCCGCTTGCCGCTTGCAGGTGAATCACTCTGTTTACGGTTTAAATTTTAAGGGCGGGTAGGTACGAGACAACTCGGCAACGTCCTAAAATAATGTTCGCAGGTCAATACGACCGCGCAACCCAATGAAGTGAAGGATTTTCTTCAAAGCTAACTAGTTAGTTTTAATTCATATTAACTTTGTAACTTAACTAGTTGAATTGAATGTGTAAAACAGTGATTACTCGTTAGAAAAAAACTAACTGGTTATTATCGGTATTTTTTTTTCATTCCAAAATGAATATTTTAATTTAAATTAATATTTTAAGTTGTCATACTGTTATATATATTTTTTATTTTGTTTCACCATTTATGTTTTAATAACTGATAAGTGATATAGGTACCAATTAATTTAAATTATTACATACCTAATGTAATAATTAGAACATTTTGATCAAATTACTAGGTGTTTAATTCAATTTTTCAGTTTTAATCAATAATTTAAGTTAGATAACTTATTATTTACATTTCAACAAAAGGTTTTATAATCTATACAAAAACTAACTTCTACTCTAATTTAAGTTACTATTTTCACCAAACTAACTTCCAGCTAACTAAGTTAGAAATTTGGATAGTTTTAGAAACTAACTTATATTGTATATTCTATTAGTTTTTTATTAAAGTAACTTAACTTCAACTAGTTGAAAAAAACTACAAACTAGCCCAGCTTTGATTTTCTTCTTGTTTTTGTTCGCTCAAACGATAGGCATTAGGCATGTCATAATATGATTATGTTTGGCACTCGACAATATACAATAAATATACAAATAACATTATAAGTGGTACATTTTACGGTGATCTTTAATATTTGCTGCTAGGTTTAATCATTATTCAAATCACTAGTCAGTCTCGTTGTTCTGCAGGTAAGATGATCTAAAATATAATCCAAATTTGGTTATAAACTTCAATACCAACGTGTTGCTCAAAATCAACCATAATATCCACAAATACAAACTGTAACCACCCAAACAATGCTAAATTCCATAGTTTGCACACAAACACCAAAAGAAACTAGTTGCATACAACTACCACTCGTTTGGGAACAGTTGCGCACAGTTACTAGTTTAATAATATCATACGAGCCGTGCACATGAGTAAACATTAATTTTAATAGTTTAATACCTTGCATATTAATATTTGTTTATTAATAAGAAAATTATTAAAGTACTTACATACATTGTCTATCCCCCTTAAAAGTTAAATGGCTTAGGACTGTCTATGAATTTATTCATAGGTGTGGTTAAAAATGCATGTTAATACTTGCTTATTAATAATTGTTAATAAATAATATTTAATACTTGTTCAAGTTAAAAATGCATGTCAATTTTAATTTTAAAATAATATTTCCATACTCTTTATCGGTGATTATCAGTGCCTAACACAGATAAAATATAATTATTTTCGTGTGCGCAAACCAGGTGTACATTTAATATAACCGTGTGCCCAAACAAGTTGCAGCCGTGGCTTTTGCTCCAATAACTAATAAAAATTTAATAATAATTATAATAAACACTTTAAATTCTAAGGTTACACGTTTCCACCAAAGTGTACCTCCTCTTTTCACCAATATAAGTACTCATTTCCATCAAAACAGTTTCTATAGGTAATATTAAAAGCTAATACAATAAGTATATTTAAAATACTGTAACATATTTAAAAACAGTATAATATTAAACACTAACTAATACGAAATGTCGTTACAGAATTTATATTGTTATTGGTATATTTAAAAAAAATTATAATAAAATTCCTGTATGTTACAGTTAAAAAAAATATTAACTAATTATAGAACTACATACATATATTATTTTATTTTTATTTATTAAAAAAAATTGACGTTGCATAATTTTATTATTAATGTTATATTTAAAAAAAGGTAGACAAGTGGGTACCGTTCTGCTGTACAGTAATTATCGAGCATGTCATTGTAAATTGTAATAGATGTGTTATATTTGAATTCAATCTCAATGATAAGAGTTATTCCATAAAAAAACGATTCTGAGAGGCGACGCTGTGTCATCCTAGCATACTTGTATAAATAATCAAATTTAATAGTTAATACAAATTATCTCATGGCTATAAATAGCGTAACTTTATGTTTAAATTTTTTTTTTGATAAAAGTAGAAGAACTTGTTGGGAATCTCCTATAAAAATGTTGTTAACTACCTATAAAAAGAAAATCTTTTACATATACATGGAAAATGTTTATATAAATATTTGTTGAAAATAGTTATTAGACAAATGTCTACAGCTATTAGTTTTTGAGTTACACCATAAAAATGAAATAGATTTTTTCAAAAATGGAAAAAATTTTTTTTTGTTTTTCCCGACCAAAGCACATCAATTTAGAATACATCAACGCTATGCTTAGAATCTAAAAAAAACTATTATTTACTTTTTAAAACATACAACAACTGTTTTATATTGTGCTAATTTTGTCCAAAAGGTAGATTTTCCCGACATTCGACGACATGGGTTCATGCAGCAATATTATAATATAATAATAATATCACGTCTTTGTATTTTATTATTATTGTTGTTGTTTATAATAATATATTACATTATTATTCTCGTCGAGAGATCGGTCGACCTTGGATGGTGTTTGCAACGAGCTCTAACAGAGTTCGCGTATACCGTTCAACGACATTATTTACTATCGTCGCCGTACACAAATACGCATACAACACGAATTTATAATAATATGTAATATAATAATAATAAAAATAATATAATATAATATTATTATTATGCGCCTATGCCTCCATAGCACCTACCTGTCCGTATAACTATATTATACAATATTATTATTATTTAGTATATTTTACGTTTCCGCGGAAACTTGTCGATGGCGCCGAGACCCCTTCTCCACGACGACGTCGCGTCCCCTTCGCCCTCGCGCACCGCCGACGTTATAGACCTCGCGCACGTCGTTATAGACCTAACGGCCGGTCGACCGGCAGTCAGTAACAGTATTCGCTTGGTTGAGTTACGTAGGGCGCTGCTCGTGCATGGCTCCAATCCCGACTTACCTAGCTGTTATTGTATTTGCAACAGTTTATTATTGTTTTATTCCACCGGTGTGTTTATAACTAACTGTGTGCGTGCACGTGTGTTAAATATAATATAATATTATATAAAATATTAAAAGACAGTACATAATATTATATATAGTAAAATATCGTATAGTATCGTTACTGTCGGTGTATATATCAATACACCTGCATTGTATTTATATAATATATATATACAATATACACATAAAGATCGTCGTCGAACCAGAATTTTGCCCACCCGGTGCGAGAAAACATACGGCGTACACACCGCGATGCATTTCGTCAACGACGTATCAAAGTTCATCTACAGCAGTCTCAGGAACGAATCGAGCAGGCTTAGGGTACGTATCTCGCAGCGTGACCCCATAAATTATTATATTTTGCTACAAGACCTAGACGCAATTCATACTGTAGGATTTGATTTTCAATGTACGGTTTATGAACACTCATACACGTCTGCACTAGGCCACTTTTGAGTTTTTGTCTGCATCGGTTAAAAAGCTTACCCACCTATTTATTTATTTGTTATTCGAAACAAGAAAATAAAAAAAAACTAGTTTATTTGAAAGCCTCCATCAACGGGGCTAATGGCTGCCGGCTGGTACGTAGACACGAGTATTATTGTAAGTCATCGTGGTATAATATCATATATTATTATTGTACGCCTCTTTTTCGCCGATGACTGTCTCGATGTTTTTCCGCCACTGCATTTCACCGCGTTCAAGCAACATATCGTTGTGACTATACAACAATATTGTAATCATTATTATTCATTCCGTCCATTTGCGAACCTCCCGCGTAAACGTGTGTGCATTTATACGTCTGATACGAGTAGTTGTATACGGGCATACAGCGTACGACCGGCAAGGTGGACGCGATCGGAGAATGTAATATTATTATTCTCTGTATATAGAACACACAGTGTTATTAGATTGTAGTTATACGCCACATCTCGAGCGTGACGTATCCTTTATAAAATGGAATATAGAATAATATTATGATTATCGAGCCCATCGGCATTCGGCTGGCAAGCCGCACTGGTTAGCCGCTCGATTATAATCCTTGGATTTGAACTCTACACAGGTCGAGTGTGTATCTGAATCTCCTTCGCATAAGACGTACATCTCAAGATCACCACCCGATTCGTAATCATTGATTGTATTAATAATGGACACGTTGCGCGTGTGTCTATAAATCCTTGGGAAAGAGTGTAAGGTAATAATAATATAGGTGTTATAGTAATTATACAGGTGTAGTGGTGGGCCGCGGCCATCGGTGAATACGATTTAATTATTCAGAATTCATAGTTCATATGAACCTTGACAGATCGATATAAAATAGGTGTATGTATTGTGTGTGTATCATTTCAGACGATAACAAAAAAAGAGCCCATTATGTTCATATTATATTGTTCTTTTTAAATTTACAGCTACACATTAACATCATAGATAATATAATATTATCACGTAAATTTCAATTATAATATGTACACAATATTCGTACTTCTTTACATATTTAGACAGTAGTTTGTAGTTTTGTTCACAATATTGTGAACTACGCTATGCTCATAATACTATGCTCATCGATGTACCTGTATTATTATATATACAAACATAATAAATAAAAATCATTTGTTGATTATACATTTTCACCTATTGTTATGTGCATTACTAATAAGACCAATAAGATAACATAGATACTAGGTGCCCTCGGAATAGGTAGCTAATCAAAAGACTATTAGACAGCCTATTGTCTATATACAATATACATATTGTAATTGCCAATTAGTATATCGTTTTATATTGGCTATATTATGTGCTAAGGATTACTTATCAGAATATGTCGTGAGCTATTCACTTACACTTTTCGTTTGTTCTTACTATCTAAACGCAAATACGTTCATCATTTTAGAAATGTTTCAAATTGATTTGGGTTTCGTCAAAGGCTGAAGGTTAATCTATTAAGCAATCCTTACTACTCTAATGAGGTGTATAATATTGGTCTTCATTTTTTCTTCCATTCTGTCGGGTTTATACAGGACAAGAAACAATCAAAACGTAAATACAACTTTTCCCAACACTGACAGACAATCTAAATAGTTTTTAAGTACAGAAACAAAACAAAAACCGGCCTCTGTGTGAAATCCAGACAGAATCGATTTAACATTTCCTCTTAAAATATATTTACTATATTTTATTGATAATAATTTTTGTGTTGTGATTTTGTTATTTATTAAATATTTGCAACAAGTTAAATGCTATGTAGTTTTCCATATACTTTGTCAGACAATTAATAGTTCAAGATAATAATATTATGTATTTTGTGTTTGGCACCTATAGAATACTAATTTCACTGTTTTACGAAAATCCGGACACCCTTGGACAATGTCTGTACGGATAACCTTATTTCAATCATACAAATGATTTAATTATCTTTAAAATCCATACAATTATAATTATCTGAGTAATTAAATCCAGTATTTATATAGTATGTCCAAAAAGTAGAATGATTAAGTTAGGTATCTGAAACCCTAAACGTGTAGTCTATGGTCATAGTAGGGACTATAAGGATTATAAATTAAAATACAATACTATGAAAGCATATTATTATGATAACTATTGATACCAATAATCATCAAAATATGTCTTTTCTTTCCTTACACTTTCTAGACACAATAGTGTCATTTATAGAATATAATATTTTATCTAATTTCGAACCGTAGTAAACACTATAAAATTTAGTTATTGTGTTGCTTAACAATTTGTAATAATTACTATGAATAATGCATTATTATTAATTACAAATATTACTCAATTATACATGTAAAAAAAAATAGCATAGAGTACTTAGTACTTAGTAGTGGGTAGAAATAATTTACCTACTAAGAATAATAGTGCTGCAATGGCAATCAACCATCTCTTGTCGACTATTTGAGTATTACAATTCTCTCGTTGTCATGTTCGTTGAATAGTGATAAACTCATAAGTCCTATTTAGAATAAAACGTCATACGTTTTTCGTATACAGTTTTAATATTTGCTAATATGTTTGTAACAAGACTACGAGAGCTCTTATGATGATATTCGACGTAATTAACAAGCCATCGTGTCATTCGTGTGTCAATTGACAAGTACAAAATTGCTTTTGAGGATATAGGTAGGTAATAAAATTCTCATTAGTATTCTCGAAGTCGGTTTGTATACCGCGCAAATCGTGTTTAATCTTTAATATTATTAAAGTACCTTTAAGGTATTTGAATTGTTGAAGTATCATTTTTTCACATGGCTACACGAGTGATAATATTAATAAGTTAAGCGGAAGTTTTTGTATCTAAACTATGCTTTTCAAGATAACCTTTTCTACTTCATAGTAAAAACCAACGTTTATTACGAATCAACAATAATTCTTAGAACTTTGAAGTGATAAAAACTTTTAACGATTAATCCTTTTACTATACTTTTTCAGAAGCCCTACTTGATTGACATGAATGATTAAATAAATATTTTTAAGAATTATGTATATTATAAGTTATAACATTTCGTGAAAATGAATGACAAAATTGAACATTACATAAATAATTTATAGGTACTTATATTATTTTCGTATTTGGTATCATTTATATTATAATATAATGACAAAAATATGACTATCTCCTTCTAGTAAAACTAATTATGATTTCATATTCTTATAAATAAAATGTATTCAGAGCGTGTCGTTAATATTGTTATAATATTATCAATCACAAAATTCAATATTAGTTACGGCATTGTCCGCACAACATAATAATATTATATATCCATGTACAATCCATTTACATTTAATAATGTAAAAATATAAAATCGATTTTCGGACACGCACGCTACTTAACTTCATTCGTCTAGCATTGCTGATTTAAAAAACGTGTCCTATTATTGCGTCTAGTCGGGTTGTGTCTTTAGATGTACCCTAAGTATAAAATGAAGCTGTCACTATATTCCGGCCCACGAGAGATCATTACCGTTTCGCGTATGTAGACCGACGGTATTTCCCCACTTAGTGCCATTCAGTGTAATATGTCCAATACTTTGGGATGTGCGTAATCGAACTAGTTTTGGTCGGGACACGGTAATGATCTCTCGTGGGCCGGTGTATAGGTAATAGGTAGGTAGTAGGTACTAAGGTACAACTGCTTCATGTTTGGACGGATGTCATTATGTCAACCTTGATGATATTATCTTCAAAATAGGTACTGGACTTAAGTATACCACACGATTTTATTCTTATATTATGTTCTTATAATACTGGGGAATGTATAACAGTTATTCGTATATCTATATATTTTGTTGATTATTAAAAACTCTATCTCGTTTACCCTGAATAATACTATAGCCAGATATGGTATATTATTTACCTCGTACCTTGGAGGTATAAAAAATAAAAATCAGAATTTCAATTAGTTATTAGTTATTACTTATTACTTATTCCTGTGCAGAACCTACGATTTTAATGTACCTACAATCATTTTCTAATAAACTAATAAATATATATATCGAACGATCGACTTACAATAGTCTCGACCGATTAAATCAAATTCGATATCGTTATGTATACCGTGTAAATCTTCAAACAAATAATTGATAGGAACCTATACATAAAAAAATGAATATTTGTAAAGGTATATAATATTACTTTATGGAAATATTTATTTAAATGCGACCATGATGGGAGCAACTGTAATTATATTTTTATTTCACTCAGAATCACCAATGCCATTGTGAAACGTACGTTGAACAGGTAAAAGCAGACGAGATATAATATAGTAAACACATTATATAGGTATTTTTAAATTCCTGCATCTAAAGTGAAATATTTTATACTGTTAATCTTAATACGCAGTTAGTTTATAAAAACAAACAAAACTATCACGTGACCTCCAAAATATAGGTATATTTATTTTTTAAGGTTTTGTTGACCCTGATAGGGCCCATGACTTTTTCATTTTAACAACACACCGATATCTATTTCTAATATAATTGGTAGGTATATAAAAATTGTTTGTTCCTCGTGTTTGCCAATTGCAACAATGCATAAGTACTGTTACTTTATTTGCGTGTCTTGTAAGTAATATCATTCCACAATTGATTTATGTGTCAGTGACTGTTAAATTATTCTTTTTGATATCATGTTCACTTGCCTATACGTAGAAATAGTATTTAATATCAATTACGTGGAATTTAAACATTTGACGAGATATTAAATTGACCTATGTGTCAATAATAAGTATCTACATTTCTCGATAAAATTCCATTTTATTTTCCGCGTTACATATTATTATACTTGAATTGAAAAAAAAATAAGCTTATAATTAACAGTAATTTGTTTTATATAGAGCTATGCGGTGAATTGCGCTCAAAAGTATCCGACAAAAGTTCGGGTCGTCGAAGTAGGACCGAGAGACGGTCTACAGAACGAATCGAAAAACATACCAACGGATGTTAAAGTGGAGTTCATAAACAGACTGTCTGCGACAGGTCTTAAAAACGTTGAAGCTACTAGGTGAGTGTCATAATGGTCATCGTGTAAACCGTAATGTTATAATTTTACCTACGTGTAACCTGCAGTAACCACTAAAGGCACTAATCGTATATTATTATAACGTATATCGTATACTATAATATTATTTAGGTAGTATAGCACTATTCATTGGCTATTATGTTTGTTTTTTTTTAATTATATAAATTACTATATCTGTGGTTCGTTTTGGTTTTAGTTTCGTTTCGCCAAAATGGGTGCCGCAAATGGCTGACCACTCAGACGTGTACAGCAAGATCGACAAAGTGGACGGTGTGTCGTATCCGGTGCTGGTGCCGAACATGCGAGGTCTACTCACAGCTGTACGTATACTTACTGACTTACTCGACACATGCATTGTGTACGTCCTGGTTTCATGTTTCGATATCGTTTTCAGATGCAACACGACGTAAAAGAAATCGCAGTTTTCGGGTCCGCTTCCGAAGGGTTTAGCCAAAAGAACATTGGCTGCAGCATCGCCGAGAGCCTGGAAAGGTTTGAAGATGTAGTGTCCACAGCTCTGGACCACGGCATCAAAGTCCGTGGGTACATTTCCTGTGTGTGCGGTTGTCCGTACGACGGTGCTGTGTCACCCCAAGATGTCGCTAAGGTATAGTGGACATAAACTAGTTACTATGATGTACACACGTCATGAATGCAGAATGTTTTATATCTTTTTTTTAGACAGAAGTACATTTTAACTGATTGACTGATTTAATTAAACTGTCTATTTATTATTTTATTAAAACTACACAAAAATGCTCATGCTTAAAAGTTAATTATATTTTTGGGTATATATGAGTGATCAGACTATCGTATAAACAATATTTTTTTGGTTTTAGAAAGGTTCTCATACATTTTCAAAAATATTAAATTTCTCTTACCTATTACAAGTACATACTTATAAATGTAATAATGGATTTATAAATTTGAATAATAAATCCTTTATTAAATGTTAAATTTTGTTATTATTTAATTTAATATGTATACGTAGATAAATATGAGTATCTGACTAATAAAATTGTGTTTACCTATCTAAATGTTTAGATGTCCGACGCGTTTTTCAAAATGGGCTGTTATGAGATTTCTCTTGGAGACACAATTGGTATCGGCACACCGGGCACAATAAGGGCAATGTTACAAGAAGTCTTGGAAATGGTGCCTGCTGAAAATTTGGCTCTTCATTGTCACGACACTTATGGGCAGGCCTTGTCTAACATACTTACTGCTCTGGAGGTAAGCACAAAAACCCGGTTTTCTCGAATTGGTGAAAATAGTCAAAAGTTTGACTCCAATTCCTTGACTTGATCTATCCTATCATTTACACTATTGGGATACACTTAAACGTTGTATAATATATCTTATTACAACGCTCGAATATGAAAATTATATTATTTACTTATTGACATATTTTAAATCCTATTTACCATACGTTGTAAGTGTTTTTTTTCGATTTCTAAGTGACTATGATTTGTACAGTTATTTTAATAACACCGTGCATGAATATTAATATAGGAATTATATTAATTTTCAATAGGGATAAAACTAATTTGTATGTCAATAAATTTAATTCAAAATATGTAAGACACAAATTTGATTCATATTCATGGGGACAAAATCACCCACTTCACCGAATGCGTCTTAAGAAATGTAATAATTACTTAGCTTAAACTATTTTTTGTTATTTTTGGCCATTAATTAATTTATTAAATATGTTAAAAATGTATGTTTCCCTATACCTATCTCCATGTAATTTTGTAAAATTGGCGATTGCCCGTTTGGGCGTTGAATTATATGCCTAAATAAAAGACCATTCTAACTTTACAAGTATGAAATTTAATTTAGCATATTTTGGAATTTTAAGTTCATATTTTATGGTTATTTATTGCTCTCAATTCATAGCCTTGATTATCATATTAATATATTATTATTACACTAGAGATTTGTCCGAAGGTTCTACAGGTTTTTTTTTTTGGGGGGGGATCCCTGACATTTAAGCAAGAAAGGAATAGGTAGACATATAGAAATCGAGAATGACTGGCTATAGCGATATTACATTCCACAACCTATCATTCAATATAATACAACGTTATTTTTTTTTTTGTTCCAGATGGGTATTTCTGTATTTGACTCGTCGGTAGCCGGTCTTGGCGGCTGTCCGTACGCCAGAGGTGCTTCCGGTAACGTGGCCACCGAAGATCTGGTGTACATGCTACAAGGAATGGGCATCGAAACTGGCGTGGACATGGAACTGTTATTGGGTGCTGGCAGGTATATTTGCGAGGAGCTGGGGAAAAGTACGGAATCTAAAGTTGCCAAAGCGTTGTCCGGAAAAGAAAAACCCATGAAATTCTTGCAATCGTACAGGAATCCAACATCACTCAAGAACTAAAGATCTTCCCAAAGCCTATAAATTATTCCATTTCACTCATTAGCACTCAAAATATCTCTATTGTTTGGTGTAATTTAGTGAATTTTTAATTATTTATATAAGACTGAATCTATTATTTTTGTCGTGAATGTGACTTTGAATGTAATTTTTTTATATTTTACTATCATGTATGGATGATTTACATAATATTTTATTTTATTACTATTATTATTATTATCATTATCATTATCATACGCATTGCATGTGGACAAATACACGATTATGTAACAGGCGCAATTCGTGGAACAAAAGGCTGTACACTTGGATGGCTTAGCCAAATGCACAGTAGCTCCTCTAAAACGTTTAATCGAATTGCGTTCATCTGTGTTACCTATAAGGTTTATAAGTATAAACTTATTAGTAAAAAAACGATTTGTGTTTTCCCCTGCGAATGTATTTTTTTTAGAATGATACTATTGAGAGTAGTACCTACCTACCTAATATTATATAATATATTTTTATAAACGTTTATTTTTAATATATTGAAAATTAAAACGAATAAGTTTTGCATATTTAACTATGGTATTGCCAAGCACGACGATTTTATTTATTTTTATTTACTAAAAAATGACGGTTTTAAAATTCAGGGTAAAAATATGATTTGATCAAGTGAATTATTAGCTAGTCATCAAATTGTTGATTAATTTATAACAAATCGGAATAGTATGTATAATAATATTGATGACTATCAAATGTTGGAAACATGCGTAGGTAGTAGTACATTATAAAACTTATAATTCTTAAATTCAACAGAGTAGCCAACAATGATAATACGGAAGAAGAAAAACATAAATAAACTCATATGAATAATCAATTCTTCAAGTAAAACTATTTATTTATTGTTTATATTAAGGATATATAAATAAACAGAAAGGATTTTAAGTGTTAGAAACAAAACTCGAATAAACTTTAAACAGATAACATATTATTATGTATATTATAAGAATATATGCTGCAGTATTTACATATTTTAGCATCTGAAAATGTGGGAAATCACAATTTTTTAGTATGAAAAATATATTTTGTGTATCTAAGAATAGTAGTAACAATCAACACGTCATATTTTATGAATCTACTATTTAAAAAAGAAATATTTATTATGTTAATTTAATGCTGTGAAAGCGTTAATATTATTATTTATTTTTAATAAAAAAGTTGGCCTCGACGTAAACAAAAATAATGTTAACTAATAATAACTTGAAACCTTTAAAAGTGTTTACCACGCTAATTATACATTTTAACATATTATTATTGTCTAAAAATTCGGTTCTCATATCATGGTTATAAATTGTGAATATATACGTTATGAATTGAATGCACAAAAAAACTTTAAAATTTACATGCATTTTCTTTTAAGAGTTGCAATTAAAAAATATATTAAAGCAAATACTTGTCAAGATAATGGTTTTTGTAATTCTTATTTTTTAGTATCATTGTATCTCCATTCAATTAGTACCTACATAATGGGTACTATTTCATTCATCAACAAACACTACAAAAAAACACCAACTTAAAAATATTTTATTTTCGAAAACAATAGTCAAATGTATTAGTTTATTTAAAATCAAAACTTCTTATTTAGTTTCCAGGTTTAAATATAGTTCTTTAATAAACACATGTGTAATGACCTGAAAACCTGTAAAACCTGAAATATGTTAAATACATTTTTGTACATACATAACAGTATACATTATATATATAGTAACTAGGAATATAAAACATAGTTTGTCTGAACGTAATTATTCTTCCTGCCAAAGTAACAAAAAGAACCATGTGAATACATTAAAATTCACACCAATACCTAAAGCGTTGGTTAAAAATAGTATTGCTCAACGGTTATGAATTAAATTATTACTTAAATCTGAGAGAAAATGCCAGGAATACTATGCTAAATTGGTAAAATGTACAAAAATAATATAAGTTTACTTATTGCAAGTACTGTAGAACTATAGTACAATTATTATTCCTTATTACGAGTAATTGTACAAAAGTTCATGACACCGGCCATAGGCGCAAATAGGAGGGGGGCTAGGGGGCTTTAGCCCCCCTTGAAGGTTCTATAGCCCCCCAAAAACTAATGATTTCACAACTATAATTTAAAAGCATCATAAGAGTTTCAAGTATAGACTGAGCTTCAGCCCCCCCAAATTTCAAACACTATTTACGCCAATGACACCGGCCTATTGCCTTATTCACTATTTCCGTTCTGGCCAAGGTCAATTTTTAATGTTTGTAAGTGCAAAACTGTAAAAGAATTATTTTTACTTCATGGGAACACATTTTTGTATACCTCTTGCAGAATCCACTTGTTATATCATACGGGAAAAAGCATTGACGAAAATATCCTAATTTCTCACCTCCGTCCGAGCAATGTATTATGTATACTAACTACAATAGTAAATAATAGACAAATGTCCAATTGGTGGGCACATAGCTTGCATTTCTTTGGCAATCATTTATTTATTTTTAAATTTTATCTCACCCGACTGACCAACGTTTTATTCAGGTACGTCGAACTGTAACTGTAACTATACGTAGAATGATTGTATTTTGTTCGTTTATCTCTAATTTTTAAAGAATTTGAAATTACAACCATCAGTTAAACACGCGCGATCAGAATATGCATACAAGGTGAGATTAACAATCTCCCGATTAAACAAATTTTTTGTTTGTTTTAATTACAATTATAATTAAATAAAATGCTGTTTATGCAAGGTCGAGTGCATAATAATAAAAGTTTTATTAGGTACAAATTCCATTCCACACTAAGCTCATTATGTATAAATCTCAAATCGGTGGGGGCCTCATTATCCTCAAAATAATATGTGTTGCCGGGGATATTTCTGTGGACCCTATACCTACAAAAGGATGGTTGGATTCAGGTGAAAATATAAAAAGTGGTCACTGGATAAAAAAAATCAACCCCATGTTATCCATTAGGTACCACAAAATACATCAATACATCATCAATATTCAATCAAGAGGTCACATATATTTAAAATTTTTTTTTTTTTGTTATTGGTTGTCTCCAATCATAATTTAACTAATTATTTTTAAAACAATTTGTCTGACACTTTGTGCCTATAGAAAAAATGTTTTAACTTCTATTTCGAGGGTGGTTACTTGCAGAAAATTGAATCTATAGTTGGAAATCTGGGGGTCAGAAGTAATAAAAATTCTATTACATTTAAAAATAATCAGGAAAATTCTGCGCAAACCAATGTTTTACAAAATCAGTTTGTTCTTGTTGTACCTAATAAAAAAATGAAAATAAAAGTACTTTCTGACGTGTTCAGACTTGTATAATTTACACCAAATATTCACATTAGCTATTATATTTTTTTTAAATATTTCTAATTTCTTTGTGATCCCTATTATTGGTTTTTAAATTCGCAACTTTATTTTGGTTTTTTATTTAATATGCTTATTTATTTATACATCGTATTTGCATATTGCGCTGAAGCACAGTTTATAAATATTTTTTCCTTAATAATAAAATGTATATAATAAATATATAATAATAAATGTATATATTAATAATATTACATTTTTTTATTATGTAAAGTCAAATGACAATCGGTTTCTTTTAATTAACCAATATATGAATTACTATATTTATACATTAAATCGAAATTGCAAAGAATGAAGGTATTATTAAGTATTATAAAGCTCTGCACAGGCCACAGGCTCACAGGTCGACAAATCTGATCCGACCAAAGTCCTACCAAATCAATTTCAATACGAAAATCCGAAAATTACAAACAGCCCGACGAGAAAAAGGATTGGGACTATAGAGAAATTTACGGTTCAGTGTTATACTACAGAAAACGTCACAAATCCATTTTATACTGACGTTTTTATCTTGCTTTTTCAAAGATATTTCTATAGAAACTTCTTTTTTTGATTAGTATGTATGATAGTATATTGTATACCCACTATACCCAATATATTTTAATACTCTCGTACGTCTTGTAGGACATTTTAAAATATACAACTATACAAGTGTACATAATTAAAAGATGTCAATATTATAGTGGGCAAGCCGTTGAGTTTTTTTTTTAAAAAATTAAAATTTTGAATATTTAAAGGTATTTTGAAAATGTTATAGTTTTTGCTATTTCTAAACGATATACTAATCAGTGGCGTATATAATGGGTGGGCACAGTGGGCTGCAGCCCCCCCTCAAAAAAAAATTACAGTCTTTTTTAATAGAACAACAATATATTTTATTAGGTACTATTATAAGTTATAATATTTCATAGCCAGTTGAAAAATAACAAATACGAATATATTTATAGAAACCGTTAAATATATAGTATAGACGGTAGCCTCTAAGTAATAGATCACTTGCTATTTTCTGTCTACAATAGCCCACCCCAAAAATTATATCTATAGACGCCACACTGATACGAATGAACGTTATATTAGATATGATGGAAAACACGCAACGACTTGCCCTCAGGAATATTGTCACAATTCAATTTTGATTCTATTTTATAGGTACCTATTATTTTACTCTAGAACCAAAATTGAGCTATTTATACTCAGACTGAGTAAACGCGTTTTGTCTATATCGTAATTGTGTAAGACGGAGACAACACATTCGGATGTGACGTCCTCTTAATACTATATCGGTAGTAAATAATAGATAGTAGGTGTAATAACTAATAATATAATATACTATACGTCAATACATTTAAATTTTAAATTTTAATTAGCTTCTACTGCTTCTAGTACCTACTTACATAAATATTATAGTTCAACAATAATTAGAGTGATAGGTATATACTACAATTTATTATAATGTATTAGGTATAAGTACCTACTTAAATATACAAATTGTCCGTACACATGTTTATTTTTATCGGAAATGTTATTACATTACTATCATTTATCACGGATGACGGATTAATTAAAATATGAATGATTGATGTATCCTTGATTAATTTATGTTACGTTTC